AAATACGATGTGCCAGAGGGTAAAGGCTGGCTAAGCGCGTATAAATATTTTTGGAGAGCGATAACAGGGGCAGTAACCCATAGTTTTGAAGGCAATAGAGCCTCCTTAATCCAAAACCCGTCGGTGCGCTATTTGCGCCAACTGTTGGCCGATACCATTTTCGGTAGGTCAAATTCTAATAAGGTAAATGAAGCTGAATTTTTCTACCTTTTTACCGCAGTAGCAACCACCGAGAAAATAAACACTGTCCTGTTTTTGTTCACCCACATGAAAGCGATAGCCACCGCTAAAAAGGGAGCTATAGTTTTTGGTGGCCTGATAACTACTCTAGGGCAAATTCTTGGCTTAGAAAATAGCTTTTCATCTTTAACACCGATGCCGCCAAGAACTATAGATATAGAAATGGTTAGGAATATGAAAATGGTGAGGAGACGGCGATACGAGAACTTCGACTTAATGATTAATAACCAAGTGTTCTCGGGTTTTATTCGGCCGAGCCCTGATTGCACAAATGTGCATAACCCTGATAACTATTGCTATATTGATGACCCAGTCCCCGACACATTCTTGAGAATGCTGCTGCTGGCGGGGACAATACTAACGCACCTCCACACACTACACGTGTCGATTCTGAAAATGTTGCAGGTACATCCTCAAGGCGCAGACTAAGAAGAAGTGAAGACACACCATCCACTCTAGACGAAATATATGCTGAAATGCTATGACAGAGCTAATTAAACGCCCAACAAGATCAGAGGATTCAGAGCATCGAGGCCCAACAAGCCGAGATGATGCAGATCCTTAGACAGATGCAAAGCGAATAAAACATGGGCATGCAGGGATAACGGGCTTAATATGATTGCAGCGAGAAATAAAAAGGTGCAAACGAATAGGCTGAGTTATAATAACATGATTCAAACTTGTCTGTATAGAGAGGGAGTTTTTTGATTGCACTTAGTAATTTCGTGTCATTACGGTGTCCTTAGTATTTTTAACCAGTACCTATCTTTCGTGCGAAAGTTTCGCAACGATGTATGATCTGTGTTATGTTGTGTTAAATTCCACGCATAATATGTTTTATTTGCTTGAGGACAAGCAAATGTTCAAGTGTGGGAGAGTTTGATAACGCGAAATTATATCGGATATTTGACTTGACTTACATGAATTTTATCTGCTTTTATTACTGTTTTATTTGATTTATCTTTGATTACGCCTTTGTTTTCTTGTGTTTTGTAGGTTATCATAAATATGGACTAAAGAGATAAAAGGAGAAAGAAATGAAGGAAATGAAAAGAAAAGAGGAAGAAAAGACCAAGGAAAGAAAAGAAGAAGAAATAAAGAGAAAAAAGGGTGGGGGCCACCACACACCAAGTGGCACTTGCCACTTGGGTGTGACGCCTGCCACCATGAAGACAATAAGGAAGTGGCGGCTGCCACATGAAGAGGGAGTGGCGAGTGCCACTCCTAAGGAATAAGAGAGTGGCAACTGCCACTCCTAAAAGAACGGGAAGTGGCGTATGCCACTTCCTCCCTATATTTTCTCCACTTTCTCCCTACTTTTTCTCAACCTCCTGGCTACATTTTCTCCTGGGTATTGTACTCGTTTCAGGCTTCAAATTCATGTAACCGTCTCCCACTAACAACTATATAAGACAAGGTAGCTTTGGAAAAAGGGGCACGTAGTATTTTTTTTCTGTTTTAGTTTTATTTTTCAGCATTCTGCTTTTAGTTTTCTTTATATTTTTTTAGAGAATTTTTGTAACGCAATTGTTTTTCACACTGATAAACAATTGCCATTTAGTTTTAGGATTGATTCAAAAGGTTGTAATATTGTACTGAACTGCAAGCCGGACTCCATAATCAAATCCAAGTTCTGTTCTTCAAATCGCCAGGTTCCTTTTATCTGTTTTTATTTTTACCGTTATATTTTTATGCATCCTTTCTATCTTCTGTTTAGCATTAAGATTAGATTTAGTATTAGCATAAAAGCCATGTCTGGCTAAACCTCTTAGTATTGGTATGTAATTACGATCGATCGGAGGGGGTTAAGTAAATCGTAATGTAAATTTAACGGATTCAATTCTTCTGGTCTCTGTTTCTTTTGATAAATTAATAACTTTTGTTATGAGAGTAAGAAAGTAACGAAGGTTAAGATCAATAAAGCGAGAGTTTGAGGTCTTAACTGGATAGCTGAAACTGAACATTAAGCTTAAATACAGCGAGAGCGCTTTAAGGTTAATTAGGATTTATTTATTTTCAAAAAGTGTTTTTAAATGCAAATGAGGGAGCGAGAGCCTGCATCCTCATTTGAGAGCATAGTCTAAGTCAATAACACGAGAGTGTGAGATAATGTCTTTTAAATGGATATTTTCTACAGAATAATGATTTTACCTTTTTAAACTAAACGCCCACGAATTACTGAACCTCCGATGATTGATAGGATTATATACCGGTATTTCGCAATATCTTAATTCAATTTAATTTTAATTCTGCACTTATTTTCTTACTCGCATCCCAAATTTAGAAATTCATTAGCCTTATATTTACATAGTAACATTAAATAGCGGTAGATCAACTCTTGATCCTTTAGATTCGATAAATTTTTAAAACTACACGATCAGACTATGCACTTGCAGTCACGAAACATTTAGACATACTAAATAGTGCGATCACCCCCTGGATCCGATGTGGCAGAGATAAGCAACATCAGTTAAAGATCAATGAATTTGATTCAAGATGCGTAATGATCTCAACATTTCATCCAAGAAACTACATCACCGAATCACTTACGAAGGTTCGTTCCACTATAGCTTTTGCAATCTTTTTCATTTATGCTTCCACAACGGAACAAAAACCAATAAGCACTATTAGATTCCAAATTTCAAATTAAAAACTCACAATTTATTAAAATATATTATATATAAATATTATTTATACAAGAATATATGACAATCAAGTAATAAATTGTGCCACTTACTTCTTCTGGATGACAAAATCAATCATATAATTATGAACTTATAAGACAACAAGACAACCTTTTGAACCATTTGCAGAAGATTCAAAATCTTTGGTGCTAGAAAATAAAAGTGTATCCAATATGGACATTTAAAGAAAAATAAAAATATTTTTGTCATTTTTTATGAAAAATAAATTTATAATAACAAAAAATAAAAATTATATATATATATATATATATATATATATATATATATATATATATATATATATATATATATATATATATATATATATATATATATATATATATATATATATATATATATATAAATTGTTAATTTATAAATATCAACAATTCATTTGCATTAATGCATAGATATAAATAAATATTAGCGTTAAAATATAACCTTATATCAATAATATACTTTTATTTAATTCAACTAAAATATATGAACTAATTTACTCTTATTTAATTCAAATAAAACATATGAATTGAATTGAAATACTTCATCGATCCTAAAAAATAATATGTTTTTTTACTCAATATTTTATTAAAATTTACTAAAAAATGTTAAAATTCACATTGTGATATGATCACGTTAAACACTCTACTAATAGATGCATTTGTGAAATTGCCAAGAATTTTCTTCTATACGTAATTAAACCATACGCACAAAAAAATAAATTATCAAAGAAACAAACATCTCTTGATAATGCTTTTCACTACTAATTATATTTAATTATGTTTGGTTTACTTATACCAAAAGCAGAAAATAAAACACCATTATCTAGATATAAGAAAACAAATATACATATAGTGTCAGAATAATAATAGCTCCTACATGAATTTCCAAGAAGTTTCCTTCTATACGTACGTGTGTGTGCTTTCAGGTTCTTCTGAAAGTTGGAACTTGAACTTCATCAGTGTAAGTATTGTAGCTTTTTTGGATATTTTATTAGGCATGGTGAATGTATCACGAATGGTGTTTTCAGATATTTTTGAAGTATTACATTATAATTTACTTGGCATTATTCCGGCAACAGGTTCCTGGAACTATGAATTCGTCAAAGGATTCTCTTCCGACTCATCTGAGGTGAAATTATGACCTTTTCTTGAGTTGCAAGGTATCTCTAGAAACTAACAACTTAACAAAATAATGAATATAGAAAAGGTAAGAGAAAGGTAAGAATGAAATATTCTATCCTAAAATATAACCCTACATGCTTCGTGCCGATGAATGACTTTTCTGTTTCAGGGTATTAAGGAAGGATGGTATGATGGAGGAAGCATTGCTTTTGCAGTTATTCTTGTTATTTCTGTTACAGGTACTAATTTTTGGTCTTGGTATCGAGTTTTTCCGTTTACTGTGAATGTTGTCGTAATAATTATATATCTAGCAATTCTCACATTATAGGTTTTGTTTCTCCTTTTTTTGTAGCCGTAACCGATTACAAACAGTCTCTTCAATTTCAAGACTTAAATGAGCATAAAAGAAACATACATTTGCAGGTTTGTGTGTATTTTTTCTGGCTTATCTATACTTTTAGTTTATCATCACTATAAATTTATCATATTTTTAGACTTGTTAAGTTTTGATTTGTACTTGAAAAGGTTATTAGAGATGGAAGAAGAGTTGAGATCTCCATATATGATGTTGTTGTAGGTGATGTTATACCGCTCAATATCGGTAACCAGGTACTTGAATATATCTTTCGAAACTTTTTCTCATTGTACCGAATGATTGTTTTTGGTTCTAACTATTTAGTTCTTAACTGAAATATTCTAGGTTCCTGCTGACGGGATTTTGATCACCGGTCACTCTCTTGCAGTTGATGAATCGAGTATGACCGGGGAGAGCAAGATAGTAAGTGTTTGTTTCTATAATGTAGAGTTTTCTTTTACTAAGATGACAATGCTTTTACTTTTTCCAGGTCAACAAGCATTCTAAGGAACCTTTTTTGATGTCTGGATGTAAAGTTGCAGACGGAAGCGCACTATGCTGGTAACCGCTGTCGGTATTAATACTGAATGGGGGCTTCTAATGACTAGCATTTCAGAAGACACTGGTGAAGAAACACCTTTGCAGGTGTCTCCTATTTCACATCTGGTTTCGCTGTTGTTCCTTTTCTTATAGTATATTGATCTATGAGTTCTCAAAGTAGGTTCGCTTGAACGGTCTCGCTACGTTCATCGGTATTGCTGGACTCGCTGTGGCTATAGTTGTTCTAGTTGTGCTACTTGCCAGGTTGCCATCTGCTTCTTTGTAAGATTCGATATAACCTGTTTTTTTTAGTGTCTCTGAGATGGTAATTTGTTTAAGTGTAGATATTTCTCCGGACACACTAAAAATCCAGATGGAAGTGTTCAATTTATGGCGGGAAAGACCTCGGTTGGTGATGCTATTAACAGAGTAGTTAAGATAGCCACTATTGCGGTATGCGCATGATCAGTCTAAGATATATAGATAAATACTCGCAATTTTCATAGGATTTGAATTCAATATTTGAGATGATTGTGACTCCATGAATATGAAGGTCACCATTGTAGTTGTTGCAGTATCTGAAGGACTTCCTTTAGCAGTTACCTTAACGTAAGTTTTACGAATTAAAATTTGAACTTCGAGTTTTACTTTTTACTTTTTTTTCTTCCAAATCTTATACCTCCCTATCAACACTTTTTCTGTCAATCACTTTATAGACTCGCGTACTCGATGAAAAAAATGATGGCAGATAAGGCTTTGGTATGTTCGTTTTGTTTGCACTTTCATTGATTTTGATTATGAAGCTCAGTTTAATAAAACACACTGAATGCAGCTGAGGAGGCTTTCTGCCTGCGAGACAATGGGATCATCCACAACTATTTGCAGTGATAAGACTGGAACATTGACAATGAATCAGGTTTGTTTAAATTCCGCTATGCAACAATGCTAAGGTCATTTTTTTGACAATATTTTGAATCATGTATCAGAGAACAATAACGATTCATTCAAATTCTGCTAGGCAATAGCGTTATTGTAACGCTTCTATTTAACAACACTTATTTTCTCGAGACAGATGAGTGTTGTTGAGGCGTGTGTCGGAGGGAAGAAGATTATACCACCTAACGATGAGTCGCAGATATCTCCTATCCTATATTCTTTGCTGATCGAAGGTGCTGCACAGAACACTAATGGAAGTGTTTTTGTACCTGAGGTGTGCTAGAACTTTATTTCTTCACTGGGCGTCTACAACAACTTCCATGTATGTATAACTATGTTCTTTGCACTTTGCAGAGTGGCAATGGTGTTGAGGTTTCTGGATCACCAACAGAAAAGGCGATTTTACATTGGGGATTTCAGGTCTGGTTTTAAGCTTCGATTTTTCCCTCGTTTCACGGAGCTTTATGTCTCGACAAATAGTTATGTGACTATTTTATTAATCTCAGCTTGGAATGGATTTTGAGGCTGCCAGATCAGAATCATCAATCATACATGTCTTTCCGTTTAACTCGGACAAGAAAAGAGGCGGAGTAGCATTAAAAACGGTAACACCGTGTTGATATTTTAATTCAAACATGTTGAAGGAGCACTACTGTCGATGATTTTATGCTTCTCTGCAGTCTGACAGTGAAGTCTGTATACATTGGAAAGGTGCTGCTGAGATAGTTCTTGCCTGCTGTACTCGGTATTTTGACACAAATGATCAGTTGGTGGATATCGATGAAGAGAAGGTTTGAGAAAATTGTTATATAAATGACTGTGATTCGCAGTCTAAATCATCAATAATTCTTGAGTTCTTTTAAGCGAAAACTTATTGGCTTGCAGATGACAGTTTTGAGAAATGTTATAGAAGATATGGCCACTGATAGTCTACGTTGTGTTGCCATTGCATATCGACTATTAGATGAAACGGAGAACATTCCTACCAGCGAAGAAGAACTTGCTCACTGGACATTACCAGAGGATGATCTTGTTTTACTAGCTATTGTTGGTTTGAAGGTATGTATTTCCTCCAGAACTGGTACTGTAATACCATCTTCGTCTTTTTTAGAATCCATAACCATTCTTGAAGATTCCATTCCTTGTTAATTATGTATCGAAATGCAGGATCCTTGTCGACCTGGTGTCAAAGATGCAGTGCACCTTTGCCAAAAAGCTGGAGTTAAGGTCATTGATGGCTTCGATTTAGATATGTGTAGATCTTAAAAAACATAAAATGACTATTTTGTTAAAATTTTGTTTCCTTGATATACAAGTAATTGAGAAAACTTAGAAGTTTTGTCCCGAAATTAATCCATGCATAGTTCAATGGCAGTAACTATGCATCTCTCTAACTCCAGGTAAAAATGGTCACTGGTGACAATGTTAAAACTGCAAAAGCAATTGCTGTAGAATGTGGAATACTTGATTCACTGGCCAATGCTACAGAGCCAGTCATCATTGAAGGAAAAACATTTCGAGCATTGTCAGACAAAGAGAGAGAAGAAATTGTAGAAAAGATCTCGGTATAATCGAACAACTATAACAGCTTTAGTTATATACCATCGGCAAGTGAGATGAGTTTTGAATACTATGTAATAGGTTATGGGACGGTCGTCTCCTAATGACAAGCTTCTGCTTGTGCAAGCATTGAGGAGGAAGGGGCATGTTGTGGCCGTAACCGGGGATGGAACAAATGATGCACCAGCACTACATGAGGTTTGGACAGAATTTTCATGTTTTTGGACTTAGTCCTTTATGTTTATAATTTGAAACATGTCCACATTACGACAACAATCGTAATGGTGCATCACAAGTCATGATTGTACATTGACGCCAAAGCTATTATTGCTATGTCAATCTAATATTCACAGGTTGGACCTGTTGGACCAATGCACATTTTCTGATACAAAACTACTAGTTTTTTTCTTCCTGTAATTGTATACTTTTTGGAGTTTAGGCTGATATAGGTCTTGCAATGGGCATTCAAGGAACAGAAGTTGCTAAAGAGAGCTCTGATATCATTATTTTGGATGACAATTTTGCTTCTGTTGTGAAGGTTAGTTCACAGTTCTTATTTTCGGGGAGTTTGAACTGTTAGTAATGATCCATGTTTAACATCCACCTCCTGAACTATTATTATTCACAGCATTGGTGTTTGAAGCATAATTGGTGTACCTTTCAATTTTCTCGGCCGATACAGGTTGTTAAATGGGGGCGATCTGTGTATGCAAATATTCAGAAATTTATCCAGTTTCAGCTTACAATCAATATCGCAGCTCTTGTTATTAATGTCATTGCTTCATTTTCCACTGGTGATGTCCCACTAAATCCAGTACAGGTTTGCTCTCTGTCTGTCTCTCACTGGTTTGTTTGTGCTTGCAGTCGCCGGAGGCTAACCTTATGATTCTATTTCTTTATTGCTTTGTCAACAGCTTCTTTGGGTAAATCTAATCATGGACACTCTTGGAGCACTAGCTTTGGCAACTGAATCACCAACAGATCACCTTATGGATCAGCTCCCAGTCGGCAGAAGGTCAATTATTTTTCATCTGTTTTTTTTTGTTTCGAACTTGGTTTTTTGGATCACGAGATTTTTAGCGAATTTTTCATGTTTGCATAGGTTCTTTAATGCATTCATGAAAAAGGGACCTATGGAGTTTGAAGATCGTTTGTGTTATGAAATTGACTGTATCTTGTTTGTTTTTTCAGAGATCCTCTTGTAACTAACATTATGTGGAGAAACCTGCTAATACAGGTGAGTTTTGTTTCTAATTTATCTTCCCCTGTTGTCACTCTTCTAGTGTTGTTGGCATGGTTTTCATTTTTCAATTTTTCAGGCAATGTACCAAGTTTCTGTCTTGCTTATACTCAATTTCGAAGGCAGGAACATACTGAGTCTAAGGCAAGAGATCAACACCTATGCAGTCAAAGTGAAGAACACTATAATATTCAATGCATTTGTTCTATGTCAAGTAAGTCCTCTTCTTCACCGTTTAATTCGGAAACTACATTTTATATTTGGTTTCTTTGTTTTGAATTATGACAGAAAATATTCTTCCAAACTGCAGGTATTTAATGAATTTAACGCGCGAAAGCCAGATGAATTCAACATTTTCAAAGGGGTTACGAAAAACTACCTATTTATTGGGATAGTGGGATTAACTATAGTAATCCAGGCGAGTCTTGTTACAAATCCTCTGTGGTTGTTTGATATTGTTTATGAAATAGTAGAGACTACCATAAACGTTTTCGCTGTTTTTTCAGATTGTCATCATTGAATTTCTCGGAAATTTCACTAAAACAGTCAAGCTTAACTGGAAGCAGTGGCTCATATGTGTTGTTATAGGATTTATCAGGTCAGTTGATTTTCATATGCTTTTGAATGCATAATGTATCTTGCTCATAACATTCTACTTCTAATGCTCGCAGCTGGCCTCTTGCCGTGGTTGGAAAACTGATACCAGTACCAGAGACTCCCATGAATAACTGTTTTCGAAGATTACGACGTGGAAGAACTAAAAGAAAGATGGAGTCTTAAGCTTCTCAATAGTCAAGTATAGGAATCTTGCTGGTTCACTCTCTTAACACTATCTTTTTATTTATCGGAGTTGACCTGCATTCGGCTGATACGAGAAAATTGGTTGTAGATAAAGGTTTTTTTTTTAAAAGGACAATGTATAATTTCTTTTATGCTTAGGATACAAACTTCAGCCAGTCTCTTTTTTACGGTGTATTTTATCCTTTTGACAAGTGCTTATTTATAATGTCGTATGCATGAAAAGGCGGCTCGAAATGGATGGTAATTCCAATTCATTTTTTCAATCAAGCTTCGAGAGGATATGGATATATACATCAACTTTGAGAGATTATGTTTAATTAAAATAAAATCCGCTCTGGTAGAGTAATTACATACCATGCATTGGTTTCAAATTCAGACAGTCGCCCATTGGTTGCTGTGGTATTTTATTATCCTTAACGGGCAATGTGATTTATGTTGTCAGGTTTTCATGCAGCAGATAATGAAAATGGTGCATGGCCTGCTCAACTTTAGGAGCATATCTTCCGACAGAATACGCTGGGGATTGGAGGCCCTTTTGAACACCTTCACACAACACAATATCTTCTATCTGCTCACGAATAACCAAATGCATTACAAAAAGGTATGTTGCAAGTTGAGGAAAATTTATAATCAAGTGTTCTAAATCAATGTTTGTACCTGAACTTTCTCACTGTCTTGTAAACTTTTCTCTATGAAATCCTTGTCACCCTGCTCAGTCAAAGAGAAGCCAGCAGGCACTAAGGTTTTTGAATTGACTTAATTGTCCTAATAACTATTTGTTTTCTAAAGTCGTAACTCTTGAAGTTGACTCAAAAATTAAAAAATGAGACACTTAACACACCCCTGATGCCTAGGACTAGACATCTAAAGCGTGATCCGAGTGGTTTAAAAGTTAGCAGCTCAATGAATTTTAGATAGGCTCTGATATCGTATTAGAATTTGAGTTTGGTCTAACCTACAAAACCAGTTTTTAAGGTGAGGAGGAGTGTCCCTCAATAAATTCTTTTCAATGCGCGACTTGAATTTTTTTTCCAATATAGTCTTTTCATGGAGTCATTCAAAATATGAAAGCAAACTACTGAACTTTGCATTAATTAATATTTCATACCCTAGCAATAACTACAAATTACCTGTAGCGAGGGTTCAAGATAGTAGTCAAAAACCACTTGACATTTGTTGACTCCTAGTGGAAGTACAAGATTGGTGTCCATCCAAGGTCCATACCTATCAAGCATGTAATATAAGCACCCCAAGTTATAAAACCATGGCAATTTGCAAAACAATTAGGGGAAGATGCCATTACTTTAGCAAGAGCATGAGTGATAAAAAAAGGTTCAACAAATAATAAAGCAAGAACCTATTAATCATGAAGTTTGGGTAAATGAAAGCATATATAGATTTTCTTCCAAGTCGATCATTATTCTCTTCGCTTTTCCCTGACATGCCTTCACAACTTTGGATGCTAACCCTTTCAAACAACTGTCTCATAACATGATTCAATTTGTCATGATATACACTATACACTGCATTAGAAGGTAAACCGAAGAGATTTTATAAAAGAGAAGCAGTAAAAAGCATACTGTGGTAGAATAGGAATCGAGATTAAGACCAGATGCCAAGTCTTTATGCGCATATGGCACATGATAGCCACCGTCTAAGTAGTTATCGCAGAACACCTACAAAAAAGGAAGACCCAAACCACCAAATTTTAAGCACATCCATGAATTATATATAAAAAAATGACAATAATAAATATAAGGTAAGCCAAGAGGTCATACCTTCCAATTGCATTCAATGGTGTATTCGCGTCTACATACATAACTTAACGAAGAATCAACTCCATTGGTACTCAGTATTTCTGAAGAGCTACCAAGCCATTCTTTTGCTACATTATGACTATCAACTTCCTTTTGAGTAAGATTCTCCTTTTCGAAATTGAGAAGGACAAAAGGCCCCCAGGTAGCTACTTTAATAGGTATAAGACCAAAGTCCTACCCTTCATGGTAAGAGAAATCAGCCAACCTTTTTCCTTATGTGAGTTATACATTTAATAGTTAACTTACTATAGAACAAAATTGCTTACATTTACGTTGAAATCTCGCATTCCTGATATCCTATTTGCCTTAAGAAGCGTTCCGTTTAATCCATATGTCCAGCCCTGCAAAAATAATAGTCTTTTCGCATCGAAGTTTCCGAAACAAGAAAAAAAGGTAGCGTAAATAGAAGCCTAAAACGTGAAAGGATAAAATCATGGTAACAGCCATTATCATGAAGGAAAGCTTGACATTTGTGTCTTCAACCTCACAAGGACGATAACATAAAAAAGAAGGGTCTTCATAGAAAAAGAGAATCAAAATAATGCTTAAAACGCATACTTAAGGTTGTAATTAAACTCACGTGGTAAGGGCAGACAAAGCAGGACTTTTGTCCACTTCCAGAAGCAAGTATAGAGGCATGATGCCGACAGACATTGTAAAAGGCCTGGACGTTCCCAGAGTCATCACGACATACCACAAATTCCACATCTCCTAGTCTGCAATATTTAATCCTCCACGAGGTTCAGAAATTTGAAAGAAAAGAAAATAAATAGAGTACACAAATTAATGTCACACATAAATATCATTTTCCCCTTTCAAGAACCAAATGGAGCTGCAATTAGACAGCAAAGTTAACAACATATGTAAATACACAAAAAACTTGGAATCAAATCTATGTACTTCTATTGAAGACAAATATGTGGATCATGTACTATGTAAAAAAAAATACACCTTCCCGTGAAAAAATCACCGGGATCCTTTATCTGCTCTGTCGATCCTGATAAACGAAATCGAGAATTTTAAGCCGTCAAAAAAATCTTCAAGACAAATTGTAATGTAAGAGAGAAAAATTCAAAATGCCAGGATTAGTTTAGTTAATCTACCAAAGATGACATCAGAATTTAGTATGAACAAAGGCAGAATAGTACTTAGCAATGGACTTGACCACTAAATACATATCAAGTATAATTAATCAAAAGTTAAGTAAGGAATTACCATAAGCCCTCGTGTCATATACATTCAGAGTCTTTTTCAATTGACTTAAGTGAGTTTATCTACATGCATAACCAAATGTGAGACTGCTTGGGAGAGCTTATGACATGTTCATAAGTTGTTTTTAGCTTATTTCCATAAGCTCTATAAAATAGCTTATAAAAAACAACTTATAACTTATATGAAAATAATAACTTAAATCAAATTAAGTTTGAAACTTTAACTGACCCACAGCTTGCCAGCCTCTGTAGAAGACGCGATCGAGCTCAAGGTGGAAGAAAGAGTGATCGGTGTACCATGATGATGGAGGTGTAACGGCTTTCTCTATGGGAATCTTTGGATTGAAGTGGTGAGCAAGTGCGTGAGAAAAAACCGAATCTGAACTGGTAAGAGAAGAACAAATGAGGTTCGATGAATGTTTGTTGGGAAAACGAAGGTGGTTTTGAGCTTTTTCGTTTCGGAGATTTGGGATGAAGGGATTGAGTTGCATGATCATCGCCATTTGCATACGCATTCTCGTTTGCCGGGTCTTTCTATAGACACAAACAAACAATGCAGCTTTGTTCGGTGATCAAATTGTTAACTTTCTTTTGTTGGCATTTTCTCATGAGCTTAATTGATATGTCCGCTCTCATCTAATAAAATATTTTTTTTTTTGTCTTCCTAAAATAATTTTAAATTTATGCATAGTTTGTTGACATTGAAATATCATTGTAGTGTTAGGTGCGTCTGCAAGTTGTTAGGAATTTTGATAATGAATCTAACGAACGAAATGTATATTGAGTTCAATATGTTTTGTGCGAGCATGTAGTATTGGATTGCGGGACAATAGAATTACATTAAGATTATCACACAATAGAGTGGGAGGTAGAAATGGTAATGTAAGCACATTGAGAGTGATTATACTCAGAATAATTCGGAAGTAGTATGGACAAGAGCACAATATTCGACTTCAACAAGAGGTTATTTCTTAGAGCTGTGGCACACAAGATTAAAATCAAAGAAAGTGAAAGATCTAGAGGTAAAACGACGGTCATCTGGATCGTTCGCCTAGTCGGACTCACTATACACACGTAAGGAAAACTTTTGTGACAATGAAGCTGGAAAAAGCAAGTGACTATGTATGATGATGCCACTGAGATATCGCAAGATCTTCTTAACTGCTGCCTAGTGGGAATCCAAAGGAGAGACCATGAATTGACAGACTTTATTTACATTGAACGTAATATTTGGTCATGTAAGTGAGATATATTGAAGATCTTCAACTATAGAGCAATATAGATGAGGATCTGAGAAAATATAGGTACCATGTTTATTGAGTTTACAACTACTTGCATAGGAGTGGAGACACGATTGACATTACACATTTTGGCTCGATAAAGAAGATTATGAATATACTTTGTCTGAGTGAGAAGAAGACCACATGTGAAAAGCTGTTTTATCTCAATACCAAGGAAATATTCTATAGCACCTAGTTTCATTAGAGTAAAGGTGGCATGAAGTGAGTCAATCATCTTATGAACCAAAGTACATGAGGATCATGTAATGAGAATATCATCAACATATACCTGTCGCGGTGAAATTTGGATACCAAGCTATTGATGAGTTTGAATTTTAATTCATTTGCAACCGAACTTTGATTTGTCCAAAGGAAGGGAAAAAGATCGAATTACCCACAATGCAATGCAAATGCAAGCTAGAGTGTTATAGGTTCGGGGGTTGGTTAAACTTAGGGAACGTGCTAGCATCCTAAGTTTCTGTAGTACTCTACAGGAACCTCTTGTTTTATGTTTGTTTATTGCTATGTGTTATCTGCTTAAGGATAGAAGACCTAGGGGTTTAATTCTAAGTATACTCGATAAGATGTTGCATCTTATGCCTACATATCCTTACGGGAGTGGAATCAGAGTATCTGTAGTTCCCCTAAAGGGTTTGAGGAGTTCTTTGACT